TAGAGGAAAGAAAGGAGCAGAGGTGTAAGATATCTCGTTCATAGCAACGAGACTGAGAAGAGCAGAAGGAATCCTACATGGAAGGAGGATTCTTCTGCTTTAGATGACATGAAACAAGGAGACGTGTTTGGTTTTTTCATAGGTGATGGCACGGGATGGCCCCGGTGGCCAAGGCAAGAGGGTGCCCAATACTGACAGCATGGACTGTGTTATCTCCTCTCCCTGCCCAGCTCCTCCTGTGCTTGCTTGTATGGCCTCAGCTCTACATCCAAGCTAGTTTCCCTGTCGCCACTGCGAATTTCCTGTCCTATGGGGTTGTCAAGACTGTGTCTACTGAAAACTGTGTATTCGTATCAGTTTTGAAAGAGAACTGCACACTTTTGCTCTGGTTTGTTTCGCAAAATCAACAAGAAAAGCAATTCTGCGGTTTCTGCAAGTCAAATTGTTCGGTGTTGTTTTATTTTAAAAAATACAATTATTTTCAAACTGTATCTGCCGTTTACTAAAGAAAAAGCAAAATGCATTAAATAGCTTAATTTTTCTTCAAGAAGGTTATTACTGAGAAACACACAGTGTATTGATCTTCCTCTTGTGTTAAATTTCCCCAGCAAGGCGCGGATAGGAAGCTGCGCAGGAGATGAAGTGCCGAGGGAAACCCAGGTGGGTATTCCCACTGTCCATCTTGACAAGGAAGTTTTGGTTTTAGGATCCTTTTGAAGCCGCTGGATGGAAGCTCGGCTCTTCTAAGAGTGGTCCAGAGTCCAGCTGACATTTTGTGACACTCTGGTAGGAAGTGTTGTGCCTCACTTCGGTGACACCGAGGAAGTTGAGGGTGCTGCTGAGCTGCCCAAAGCGTTGTCTGTCACTTCACCTATCTCCCACAGGTTGAACGTGTTGCAGAGAATGACAACTGCCAATCACACTGATGTCCACCAGTTCATTCTCTTGGGGCTGACCACCCGCCCGGATCTCCAGGTCCCCCTTTTCTTGGCTTTCCTGGCCATGTACGTGGTCACCCTCTTGGGGAACTTTGGGATAATTATCTTAATCAGGACTGATCTTCACCTTCACACCCCCATGTACTATTTCCTTGGCCACTTGGCTTTTGTCGATGTCTGCTATTCCTCCGTCATCCTCCCCAAAATGTTGGTCCAGATCTTGACCGAGGAGAAAACCATTGGCTTCTCGGGGTGCGCAGCCCAGCTCTGCTGCTTCGTTGTTTTTGGGGTCACCGAGTGCCTCCTGCTGGCTGTGATGGCCTACGACAGGTACGTGGCCATCTGCAAGCCCCTCCTGTACCCCACCATCATGGACGGATGGATGTGCTGGTGGCTTGTCACTGGTTCCTATGCTGTCGGCATCTTGCACGCGGTGACACACACCACTTTCATCTTTACTTTCTCCTTCTGCCGCTCCAATGTCATCAACCACTACTTCTGTGACATTGCCCCGCTCTTAGCTCTCTCCTGCTCCGACACCCGCACCTATGAGGTGGTCGTCCTTGCTCTTGTCAGCATAAACTGCCTCAGCACCATGACCGTCATCTTCGTCTCCTACACTTACGTCCTCCCCGCTGTCCTGAGGATCCGCTGTCCGGAGGGCAGGAGAAAAGCCTTCTCCACCTGCGCCTCCCACCTGACGGTCGTCACCATGTTTTACGGGGCAATCTTGTTCATGTACCTGCGCCCCAGCTCCACCTACGCGTTGGATGAGAACAAGAGGGCCACTCTGCTTTACACCATCATGACCCCCACGCTGAACCCCT